CCCAAAATATATTTATTTCTTTGACATGTTCTGGGATGGCTGGCAGAGAGCCAGCAAACACAGTGGCCTTACAAAGGGAAAAACTTATGTGCATTTAAAAAATCTACATTAATGGGTGGTGCTTGTGGCTCAGTGAGTAGGACACCAGCCCCAGATACCAAAGGTGGAGGGTTCAAACCCGGTCCCAGCCAAACTGCAACAAAAAATAGCTGGGTGTTGTAGTGGGCAGCTATAGTCCCAGCTACTTGGGAGGCTGAGGCAAGACAATCACCTAAACCCAAGAGCTGGAGGTTGCTGTGAGCTGTGATGCCACAGCACTCTACCGAGGGTGATGAAGTAAGACTCTGTCTATAAAAAAATAAAAATCTACATTAATGCAGTGAGCACTTCCCTGCTCCAGATCTAAGAAATACAAAGTGATAGTCTGATGCCTTTAAAAGTGTGAAAAGAGGCGTTTACCATCTAATCTCTCTGAGAACAGCTACCTGGAGGGTTTCTGTAGTTAGAAGTCTCCTGTTCTCTCCTTCCTACAAACTGCTTTGTCCCTAAAACTGGATTTACCACCTTAACCTGTCCGGGCTCATGTTTGGAGCCTGAATATTTTCTGCAAACTCAAGATGGTATTTAAGCGTCTGCACTCCACTGAAGGCTTGGGTCTTCATTGTGAATGCTCCTGTGTATACATATTAAATAAATTTGTATAGTTTTCTCCTTTTTTTTTTTTTTTTTTGAGACACAGTCTCACTCTGTTGCCCAGGCTAGAGTGCCGTGGCATCACTATAGCTCACAGCAACCTCAAACTCTTTGGCTCAAAGCAATACTCCTGCTTCAGCCTCCTGAGTAGCTTGGACTACAGGTGCCCATCATGGCACTGAGCTATTTTTGTTTGTTGGTTCGTTTGCAGGTTGGCCAGGGCTGGATTTGAGCCTACCACCCTCGGTATATGGGGCTGGCAACCTACTCACTGAGCCACAGGCACAGCCCTATACTGAGCTCTGTTTGAAGATTTTCCTTGTAAAAATGATTCTCCCTGGGTCCTTTTTTTTTTTTAAAGACAGAATCTCACTTTGTCACCCTGATAGAGTGCCATGGTGTCATAGCTCACAGCAACCTCAAACTCTTGAGCTCAAGTGATCCTCCTGCCTCAGCCTCCTGAGGAGCTGGGACTACAGGCACTCACTGCAATGTCTGGCTATTTTTTGGAAATGGAGTTTCGCTATTGCTCAGCCTGGTTTTGAACCTCTGAGCTCAGGCTACCCGCCCCTCTCAGCCTCCCAAGTGCTGGTATTACAGGCATATGCCCACCCTGCAACCCTGGGTCCTTTTTTAAAAGAACAAATGTTAGGCTATAATTAGGTTATAGCTTTTCTTTTTTTTTTTTTTTTTTTTTTGAGACAGAGCCTCAAGCTGTCCCCCTGGGCAGAGTGCCGTGGCATTACAGCTCACAGCAACCTCCAAC